CAAATAGAAGAGTTTTTGTCCACTTTTAACTAAAACTAGTAAATAAAAATTATTTTCTTATTTCATGCATTTTTCGTTTAATTCCCATCATTAAATTCTGCACACCTTCTTTTGTTACGGCTCGACTTGCTTTAAGCCACTTTTTTTTTTTAATTCATTGACGTTATCGGCCTCGATGATCCCTTTTCAAGTTTGACAATTGCCCAATATTTTTCTCTTAGGCGAAATTCTGGAGCGTTTGGAGGGTTCTTCTCTCTTTTAACAAAATTGACATTGTTATCCTTCAACAAAGCCAATGTGGAATGAGCGTAGTGCACTGTGGTTAAATCGGGCCAAAATATTGTTGACACGATGTGTTTCTTATTTTTTTTTTTTTATAAAATGGCCGATTTTTTTTTACTGTCGGCCGATATAGTACCCCTTGTGAAAAATGGAGTGGTCTTAAGGTCCCAAGAGAATATAGCCTGTCAGATGAGTATTTTCTCGCCACATTTTTCTACTTCAATTGTTGACACTGATTGGTCGACAGTACCATCTTTTGGTTTTGCATAGAATTGGGGACCTGGTAATGTTCTTGAGTCCATTTTTACGTATGTTTCATCGTCCATTATAACACACTCAACAGAATCTTTAAGCAAACGTTCGTACAGCTTCCGTAGCCTTGTTTTCCCAATTTTTATTTGTCGTTGACTTTTTTTGGAATCTTTTGTTTTTATAAGTTTTTAAGTTATTTCTTTGCTTCACTCTTTGAATCACAGTAACACTGGTTTTAGCTTTTTTCGCCAAATCGCGCACAGATATTGATTTGTTTTAGTTTATTAAGTCCAACACCTTTACTTCAAGATTTGGGTCACTAGGGCCTTTTTTTCGCCTACTTTTTGATAAATCTTTAAGAGAACAGGTTTCGTTGAACTTTATTATAATATTTTTTATACCATTCACACTGACTTTAAATCGTTTTGCTAGCTTTCTGTATGAAATGCTTTTTTCAATGCAGTAATTGTGCACAATTTGCCTACGCACGTGCTCTTTGATTCGACCCATCGCGAAAATGATATTACAAATTACGGAGAAAGAAAAAACAATAGAAGCAATAACGGTACTTAGCGCAATATGATCAAACGGCTACTTCATGAGAAATATTGAATTGAACATTCCATTTACTTAAAAAACAACACAAAACAAAATAAAATTTCAATTCTACGTAAAATATTCAAGTTAAAAGATTTAATAAATTAAATCCAAAATAGAACGATAACTTTCTACTCCTTCTCATCACTTAGTATGATTTGTTGCGAACGTTTTGTTCGTACTAGTTCAAAATCTGAGCTTCATCCACTATTAGATTCGGGCATCCTTTCGACGATTATTGGTTTGAAAAAATCGTGCATTGAAGTTTGTTTGCTCTTATTTCGCAAACCTTTATAACTTTCTGGGTAGGGAGCTAAATTGTTCTGAAGATTTCGTTTAAATATTTCTGCTCTGTCACTTAAAGGGTCGTTCTCCAAAATGTATTCTTCCAACTGCTCCGCCACATTTAAAACTTTCTCGATATTTTTTAGTGTTTTTATTTTAAACAGTTTTTATTTTTAACATCGGAAAGATCGCCAGAGCTACGTCTAACTGATTCTTCATTTGTCATTGCCACTAAATCTGCTTCGATTATTTCGGATGGATTTAATTTATCAAATCCATCACCTTCTACTGCATTCGCCAATCTCACTATGTTTCTATATTCTATTGGTGTAGAAACAGTGCCCTGAACGTCTATTTCCGGTATTAGTGCTTTCCAGCAACCTTTAAGGTTGAAGGACGAATTTCTTGACGCATCAACAATTTCAACAGAATCAAAGTATAGATAAAATGCAAAGAATTTTATTTGGGCAAGAAAACCTTTTTCAAATTAAAATAGTAAATATTTGAAAAAATGTTCGTAAACATCGCGTTGTAAGAAAATGTGGAAACTTTGCACTTTATGGGAACCGCGTTGGAGGAGGTTTACCTGTACTTTTATTATGTATGAAAATATTGCGCGCTATGAGTTTATTGTACAAATCTTTTGTTTGTTTCTTTTCTATTTATTCTGATATTTTATTTGCTTCCATCAAATAAGTGCGTTAGGGAGGGAAAATACGGCACATTAGCCAATGACACATCCCATACTCTGTTAGAGTGTACATATACATACATATGTATAACAGAAGCTGGCGCTTATTCAAGCTTATTATCTGTGCGTAGGCTAAATGTGTGCTGGTCGATTAGTAAAATTTATTGAATAAACCGCATACGTGTACATATGTATGTTAAAATCTAAATAGAATAAAGCAAAGACACATGTTGAGCTACTAAAACCAGTTTGCCTTACAATACTTCTAGAGTTTGTATATTTGTATGTACATTTTAACAATTTATGGTGCAACTTACTACATATATGAAATTCCTTTCGCAGCGTTTGCTAAAATTTACTTTACCTGCTCCCTAGTTGTATTCAATATATCTTATATGCCCTGAACAGGGCAACGAAGCTTGTAACACCCAGAAGAAAGCGTGGACCCAAAAATTTATCAGTCGACTTAGTCATCTCCTTCTGTATGTCCGTATGTGTTTGATCAGCAGATAATGCATCTCTATAGCATTGCTATACAAACTGAACTTTTTTTGATGACATATCTCCAAAAAATTTGGCATGACATATTATTTAAAGCAACTTTACAATATCTAAAGAAATTGTTTAGATCAAATGATCACGAATAACCAATGCGCTATGAAATGGTGCATTATCGCACTTCTTTATTCAATAAATTTAGACATAGTAAAAATCGAAGAATTTCAATTTTATCATAGTAGTATAAATTATTAGGATAATGAGAAAAGTTAAAATCCGGGAGTAAAAATTTAGATATCTTGATGATTGGTGATAGTACAAAAACAATTACGAGTTCGATACATATCTCCTAAACTATTAAAGCCGCAATAACAAAGTTTGCATTTTTTTTTTACTATTTACAACTCCTACCGACAGTGTGAAAATTGGAAAGTAGTTCCGCTCACTACAACGTTACTTTTCAAGACTACTGAAATCGATATGAGGGACATTATGAAAGCCGGTGTGAAAATTGTACCACGGGCTTGGCACCGCACACTTTTTCGTTAAATCACATACCTCGGGACTCTACTCACCGATTTCGACTAAACTTAGTTTGTAGCATTATTTTCATATTCTTCCTATAAGCACGCCTACCTTCCATATAAGACAGCTTTAAATTCCATTTTAATCTTTCACTTTCTAGTGTACAAATCAAGAAGTAATAAATATAACGGGATAAAACTTTGCAGTACTAATTATTTTAAAGTACCTTATAACCAAATATGTCCCAAATCCAACCAAAAACTGTTCAAGACCACAAATACTGCAAAAGTGAATTCCAGTATCTACCGTTAACTTTTGACCGCATATATCGGCCAATATTTTAACTAACTCAATGAATATGAGAGACCTTGTTTTACTCATAACAGTGTATCTTTATGCATAAAATAAATAAACTTGCACGAAAACTTGACCTACCACTAAATAAACCATGAAACTCAAGGAAAATTTGTTTTTGTATGTGGAATGATAATATTTACTAAATAAAATTGGGTCGACATTACCCCAACTCCCATATAATACATACTGGGTTTGTCCGGAAAGTAAAAGGACTGATTTTTTTCCGCCGCGATTATACTTCGGAGCGTGCGCACACCGACTGGAGTTCTTAGCCAACGAACGAGCTGCTGGAAGCGGTGGTCTCTGAGTACGTAGAGAGTCAGGACAAACATTTTCGCGCGACGTGTTTCTGTGAGTGGAGCAAGCCGAAATACAGCGTTTGTTAGAGCAGAGGTACACGATTAAATTCTGGGTGAAACTCGGTAAACTGCGACAGAAACGTTTGATATGATCAAGCAAGAGATCGCAGATGAAGACCGACCTGCGACTTCGACAAACACCGAGAAACCGCCGACTAAGTATTCGTTTAATTGCCCATATGATAATTTTATCAAAATTTGTGGTTCATGACATTGTAACGATGTGCGCGAAAATGGTCCCACTGACGACCAGAAATTGTAGAAGTATGCCAAGAAAATTTGAAAATGTGTGAAAGTGACCCCCAATTTTTGGAGCAATCACAGATAACGAGTCATGGATCTTTGGTCAGTGACCGCCATAGTGAAAGAGTTATATATAGTATTATCTATATGAAATTGCTTGGCTCTAGTTGGCATGCAAGTTGAAAGAGTATACAAATTTTTTTTACCATAGATGTTCAATTAAAGTTTTCTTTTACGAATTTCGAACTGTTTGGATTATTAGTAATGAATTAAAAGTCCTAATAATAGTTAGAGTATTTAACTTTTTCAAAGGTTTTCTTACTTTCTTAACTTGTTTCGTTCTTTTCTATATGATATAAATGTTCTTAATTACTTACAATATACTCTTAGCCTTTGATATTATCATAAGAACAACAATTAGAGTCTGAAGCCTTAAATAAACAAACATATACTGTTACTAAAGCTCCTCACTATATAAAGTAGGTGAAAGCAAGTATTTTGAAATATGTATTTGTATTTATAGCGAAATATTTAGCAACTTTAATACGTATGTATATATGTGTGTGTACTAATTTTGCAGATTCAAATAATATCAACAAATATCATATCGCAAATAAACGCAATACTTTGCGCAGGAGCAACAGACGTCAAAGAGGCGATCGACAGAGTAAAAGAGAAATACCAATATACAACAAGCGCAGCAGCGAAAGAGCAACAAAGCATCTGATGGCCTACAAAGTGCCAACAGTAACAGAAAACCTCAGGAACTCATGCGAAAAATAGCGTTAATAAGCTTTAAGTCCGAGACAGAGACTGCGTTAAAGACACACACTAGTAAAAGCCAGTCGGTTAACGGAAAACGTATATGAACGTTGTACACCCGTACTGCGGGTTTAGTTCCTCAGCTAACCTAAACGCAACTAGTCACAACCAAAGTGAATGGTACTTACACGATAAACACAACCGATGAAGACTGTTGGATTTGGTGAATTACAAAGAATAATTTAAAGTAAACTAATACAAAAAAAAAAAAAAAAACAAGTAAGAATAGTAATATTGTCGAACGAATCAGAAATCGAAAACGCGTGGATTTGAATATAGGATTATTATAAAATAAGTGGCTTGACAACCATTAGCCATTTACGGTGACGGTTGTTTGCAGTAAATATGTGTAGCTGCAGAGCGGCAAAGAATAAACAGTAACAGAGCAAACTAGCTTATAAAAACGGTTATGCCGAGTGTAAAGTTAAGCTTTATTGTACAAAAACTAAAAACAGGTTGCTCATAAACTGAATGTGCATATTACGAACATAAACGCAAGCGAGTACCAGAAGAAAAATTCAATACCGCGCAAACAGCTTGAACGAAACGACGTAAAAAACGACATTCCATTGAAAGGGAAAACAGTTAATAGTTAAATATTACAAAAGCACTGAAAAAAGTGACTGACATAATGGCAAGACATACCTTAGTTTGCCATATGCTAACTTGCGCGTTGGCAGCACTACTACTTTTTGGCGCACCTGCCAAGGGAGCGCCAATGGGTGAAGCAGCAATAACTGCGGAAGGAACCAGCAACAAGAGTGGCGCTTTAGAAATTGGCAAAATCGAATATGATTTTTTCAACACAATACACACTGAATTTCCTTCCACAGACTCTCAGCCGTATACTAGCCCCAAAGTAGAAACAGAAGCCGAAATGGCTACCACTTTATTGCCCATGACTATGGAGGAAATGGCTTTAGCTGAAATAGCAGTGGTTGTAGCAAAGTTGGCAACAACAGCTGCGGCTGAGTTGGAGGGCCGCGATCAAGTTGAAGAAGGGTACAGGGAGCAGATAAGTAGGAGAGCTAAAAAAGATAGACAACAAGATTTCGCGCGTGAACTTACTAACGTGGGTGCGTCAGTGGAAGACGTGACAGTTGACGATAGAGGTTTTGTTGTTGCAACAACATTTAGGACAAGTTTTCCCCATCAAATTGATACCACAACAACTACTACACCAATGTCACCCACAACATCAACAGCGATAGCCTCTTCGATAACAACTGAAAGTCCGGCAATTTTAGGTGAATTGGTGAGAGCAGCCGTAGCGGCAAATGAGATTTTAGCAGCTGCTTTAAACGTCGCAACAATGGCAGTCCCAAATATTAACATCACAACCCCAACAACTAAGGTTGATGTAGCTAACTTGGCAACCATCACAGCTGTTGCTAATCATGCGCAAGTAAATGACAGTGAGGTGTTGTTGGAAACTACTGAAATGAATGCATGGCAACATAACAATGTTGAGAACATTGAAGTAACCAGTGCGATACCGGATTATACAATTTTACCACAGGGGAAGAAAAATGAAGCATTGGAGAATAATGCAGAATATGAAGCAATCATTTCAGCTGAGGCCAATGAGGAAAATTTGGCTGCTAAAGAATTAGAGAGAATACGACTGCACCAGACAACAACACCGGTTGACATCCAAGAAACGACAACCGAATCCACAACAATATCAGCAGAGGAAGAAACTACAAATTTGTGCAATATGGATAGTGTGCTATCACCAAGCCGTAATTTAACCGATATGGACCATGAAGTTTCCGAATCAATGATTATTGAAAAAAGAAAGGAGTCTCAACAATCTTTGGCCTTACCGCCAACAAGCAGTGATAAAAACTTTGAAAATGCAACTCCAGGCGGCACAAATTTAGTAATAAACACCACCGACAATATAGCGACACAAACAGAACCTGTCGCAGAGGCAACAACTTTTGTAGCACCATTAACCAAAGAAAAGATTAATGAAACTACAGAAACTGAAGACCTGCAGCAAGTGCAAAGAGACGACCCTTTGCGCGAAAGTGGAGAGAATGCGTCTGAACTTGCAGTTAGGACGACGACTACTGAATCATTGGAAACTCTTATTGCCGTAGAAAGCGAAGCGAGGTTACCAAATAAAATTGATCTCCCATCTGAAAAAGAGTCGTTAGAAACTGTAACTACAACATCCGAACTCGCAACAATTGAGGATAGCAGTTCTAATAAACTATCAATTACTTCCGAATCTATTTGGTCAACAAATGAAACTACAACAATAACGACTGTTGAAAATATTACAACTGAGACAGCAACAAATCAACAAATTACTTATACAACAATAGCGCCAATACAAGTAATTACAACAAGAGGAGCACTGGAGGAGGACACGATAACTACAGAGTCGCCAGGCGGCAAAACAAATATATTAAAAATGTATAACGTTGCAGTTACTGAACGAGGTAAAATGTTAAAGGATGATATACAACAAACGACAATATCATATAGTCCAACATACACTTCAAACAGCATAACAGAGACATCTCAGACAGAGCATCCAGCATTAGAAACAACAACAGTCTCTGCGGAAGAGTTGTTTACATCATTCGATAAAGAGGAGAAAACTACGCAAAACTCACTAGTGAATTTAGAGATCACCACAAAATTCATTGAAGAAGAAATTACTAGAACAGTAATACCGTTGGAAGAAAACATCTCCACACAAAGAGAAATATCTCCTGCAGAAGCAAGTACAATTCAAGCTAATTTTGAAGTGTTTCCTAATACTCAACCCACGGAAATGTCACAGCAAATATCAACAGAAGACATAATGATCTTAAACAATAATCCGGAAACCACAACTTCAGCAAAACAACCGTCAGAATTGGATGACCCAAAAAGATTTACGTCCGCTGAGATACGGAAAACACTTTTAGCTACTGCTGAAAAAGAGCTAAGCACTAACAAAACGGAAAATAAGCTGGATTCGAAGAATGTAGCTGAATCAGAAGCGAGCACAGCCACGACGACAATGGCTGCAATTGAAGAGCAGACGCCCCATACGAGCACAGTAAAAGAGCAGCTGCAGCAGCAAAACGTGGTAAACGAGAGTGACAGCGCAACAATTACCACGAACACTGCCGCAACAACTGAAGAAAGTTCAATAGAAAACGTGGATGTTGCAACCACTACAAACACAGCAGATGTAATACCAACAACAACAAGTATAATGCCTAAGCTAGATGTAACAACAATAATTTTAAGTACTACTCCCGAAACAGATGTAACCACCAGCACCAAAACAACAACAACTACCTTGTCGCCAATGAGTCTAATTGTAGCCGAGCATGAAGCGCGTTCCCTCGACAAGACGCCACCGCGGGTTAGTCGGATTGTCAATGAAGATGGTGTCGAGGTGTTGACTGGCTACTCTATAGTACATCAGATGCACGCAGGGGCCTTGGCGGCATTGGTCGCGGCCGGTGCGTAATCAAATGATATGAAGAAGCTAACACCTGATCGCGTGAGAGTCTAGAACTGAACTTTTTTCTTACCTACTAAGCAAGTAAATTTGGAAAAGTCTCACTCAAATTTTTAAATATAGAAGCATGTATCATTAACACAAAAACAACAACAACGATTAAATTACATACATATATCCGGTTGTGGTGGAATCTCTGGTATGCCATAACAGAGTTATTTTGTTTTCATGAGCTATACATAATGTATGTATATATGTATATGAAGCAAAGCTATTTTAGGATAAGTTTTTTTGCCAAATGTGATACTGAAAAATGGAACTACATATGTATGTATATGCCACTCATGCCTGCACATGCATGTATTATATATGCAGTTGTTTTTGTCGTTATTGCTGTCATATCGATACTTATGATGTTAATAATAATAATAATAAAATATAATATTAAATTAAATGTGAAAGCATTCTCTTTATGTTTCGTGCCTTTGTAAAGCTGTAGAAAATACTAAAACATATCAGACACAGACTTTTGGTTGTTGTTGCTTAAATTTTGTGCAAAAACTTCTTCGCTTCATCCATCAACGACTACTACGACTGTCTAGTTATTTTCAGGCTGGATCATCAGCTTTCTCCATAGATATTTGAATTTACAATCAAAAATCAAGGTTTAATAAGTTTTTTCTGCATTTCTGATACACTGTTTGCTGTGTCTTTTTCGTGAAAATATACATAATTTTACAGCATAAATTTATACTTCATCTCCCTTGCAAAAGTATTGCGACGAACTCGTTTTGTTTAATCGTTTATTAAGCAACACCTTCTTTCACTTATTCGCACAAACCCATTAGGAAATATGAATATAATATTGTATTGTTGACACTTTTTAATCAATGTTGATAGATTTTGGAAAAATTGCAAAATGTGTGTGAACCAATTAATCAATTTATATTTATATGACTACGAATGCCTTTGGGACTAATAAAATACCTCGAAAACAAATTAAATTTATACCATATATTGGAAATAAGAAATAAATTTACAAGAATATAATCAAACTATCAGAACTTAATCATGCCGTTTTCAGACTCTGTGAATTTACGTTCAATATACAGACTTAACAAAGAAATATACATTAATGAAATATATAGGTGTCCTCAGATAAACTAGTGCCATTACAAAACTTTACTTGCAACTAATCTCATGTAATGAATTATATATAAAATCCAATTTCAGAAGTAAATGCTTTCAGTTTTAGTTTTTATTAATAATATAAAACATGAACAGATAGACACAAAAAAAATGTAAGTTAACTCAAATATTTTTTGATGTTCGTGTGTGGAGTTTGATCTTCATTTGTCAATGAATTTACTATCTGAAATGTATGTCTGGGAAATTTTACGACGAAAAAAAATTACACAATGAGTTCTGCAAAGCATACGCTGAAAGTCATGAAGTCTTCGCAAGATTGCCTCTTGCCAGTCGTCCATTCACCTCTTTTAATGACGGTACCATCGAAAAATTTAAAAAACTTTTTCGATTTAATGTTAATGTAGACTAGTACCAACAGATCTAAGAGATGAGATCAAACACCATTTACTCATTCAAAAAAAGGCATTCGTTCAAAAATTGGCGTTGAAACAGTCCAACAATCGCGCTAATGACTGAGGACCCTATTTTGAAGGAGTTAATATCGTTTTGTATTAAAATTTGTCAAAATGTGTTGTTTGTTTATCAGCCTGCTTTAAACAAATTTAAAAATTTCTTTAATTTCTTACTGGGCACAATAACATAACGATTAAAATAACTTATAGTTTACGTTATATACGGATATACCTATACATAAAAACTACATATGGAACCAATACATGGTATGTTCAAATCAAAAGTAATGTGATATTTTATACTATTGTTGATAAAATGGCGGTTTCAAATTACCCAACGAATAAATCAATAAATGTATGCTCCCTAATTTTGTACGTAATTATCCATTTCTAATAGTTTGAAAGTTGTTAAAAAGATGATGGCACTTCCTCGCATTGATATTGTCATAAGATTTCTTAGCAAGTGTTAGTATCAATGCACATTTTAATACCGATTTATTGTTAATTTTTTATTAAAATTTAAAAATGTTGTTGCAAAATAATTTATATTGCTTATTTGTTAAATTAACTTTTATTTAAAAAAAGGGAGCTTTAGGGAGCCTTAAAATCATAACCACTCAGTATGGGTTTAAAATTAGGAGTTACTAAAAAAATCGGTGAAAATAAATTGATTAACTAAAGTATTAAGTATAGCCTATGTTACTGACTCACTCACTTCAGCGGCTTGCTTCGGCTAAGCAAGCGTTATCCATGGCTATCACGTATCCGAATGCTTTGCGCCACGCATCATAATGCGCTGGGTTATTTAATGCAGTTTGGTTTAATTGGTGCTCAGCCCTGCATTTTGAACTTGAACGACAGCATTGTTTCTGATTAAGTTCATATTAATTTTAAAAATGGCCTTTCAAATTTTTAGTCAAATTTAACAGTAAGTAAGGCCAGTTTACCTGCTTAAACGTCTTATTTTGATTTATATTCACTCCGACCGTCGTGGTATAATTGCTGCAGGCACACTTTTGTATACTACATTTTTTGAGAAATTCTATTAATCATTGCCTCCAGCGGTGTTCGTTGAGAAATTTTTGCCGAAAGCCAAACGGTGAACGTTAAGTTATACCAGTTGACCGAGATATGGTACTACTATGCTCTCCATCTGCTGCTTTTCGTGTTTACTTTGCAAATTTATTTGCTTTCTAAGTAAATTGATTTCTTTCCCAAGCGTTCACTTTATATACAAATATTTACAAACGTGTGTATTAGGGTTGGGAAAAAAAACGAATATTTTGTTTTTCGCTTTATAGAAATTAGTTGATAGGTACTTCTAAGAAGGCTCTCCAAGTATGAGGTCTTTACTGTAATAGGGAGGTCCTCCGTCAAAGGTTTCGTTTCGTATATCAGATAGGGATTTTTATTGCATTAATTTTGTAGACAATTTACTACTCTACCAAATACTTCTTAAGGCGCTTTTGTAAGCCTATCACTTTAAAAGATATTAACGGTTGTCCTATTATCGAATGAAGAATTATTCCCTACTGTACCAACAACAATAATCAACAACAGCAATAACAGTCCCAAATATATAGTGGTAAGTTCAACTGATGCTAATAAGCCGTTGAATAAATTTTTCTGCTTCGCCGTTCACAAATCCCTGAAACCCATTAGCTCTGAAATAATAAAAATCAGTCAACTAAGGGTTGGTAATTTGCTACTATCGCAAAAAAATTTACAACAAAGCAAGTGTCGTTGCAGTGTAAAAATTGAGCTCCACAAAAATTCAAACTCTTGCAAAGGTACTATTTACGCTCCGTGCCTAAACGATATTCCCGACAATGAAATAATTGAAAACTTGAAAGACTAAGGTGTCATATCGATTTATAAATTTCCAAAATACACAAATGGCTAACCAACTCCACTTTCGATCGCTACTCCCTACCGGAAAAAATTGATTTTTCATGGTATACAACAAAAGTAAGACCATACTACCCAAATCCCATGAGATGCAGAAACTGCCAATTACTTGGTCATACAAAAAAAACGCTGCAACAAGGTCCCTACTTGCGATACATGTGCATTACCAACACACAATCCCTCACCCTGTACTCGCACTCTCTGTGCAAACTGTTCTGCTGATCACCCAGACTCGAGTAAACTGTGTCCAAAGTTCATTCAAATAAAGAATATAATAATAATTCAAACTAACAATAAATGATCTTTTCGTGAAGCAGTAACTATCCATAAAGCACAAATACCACTTGTTTTCAATTCTTCATCTCCCTCATTCGCTCACGTTATTAACAACCCAACAAATATAACTCCCACAAACTATCAACAAAACACGCAAACAAAAGAGCAAATCTCGCTCTCCTCTCTTACTCCACCTACAACTTCCAACTCTAAAACAAGCAGCACAAAGAACGAAGAAAATGTATCAACCACTATAAATCAAATAAATTCAACTCATTCGCTTCCAACAACAAGTGCAGTYGAAGACTCAACTGTAACACCTTTTGAATACAACGCAACAACCTCACTCATTTCAAACTTGATCACCCACCTCAGTAACACTCCCGCCGCCCCATTACCCACACAACCCTCATCACAAAATAGATTATGAGAATTCTTCAGAGGAATTTGAAAGGTCTTTTTAACAATTATCCAGATTTAAATGTACTCATAAATGAATTTTCACCACACGTAATTGCATTACAGGAAACTCACCTCCCAGCAAACAAAACGGCATATACTCCTCACAAATACATTGGTTATTTCCATAACCTACCACAAAACAAATCAGCTAAACAAGCGATTTGCCCTGTTTGTCAAAAAACATATCAAACACAAACGTATCCCAGCCTTATCCAACATTTGCGCCATTGCTATAGAAATTAACATCGCTTTCAAATTTTCCATAGTCACATGCTACATCCCTCCGAATCAAAAGTTTAATGCAGGAGAACTTATAGGTGTCAATAACGCTGTTCCTGCACCCACAATAATCATTGGAGATTTTAATGCTTTGAGCCCCCTTTGGGGATCTACCTTCTCAAATGGAAGAGGTCAAATAGTGGAAGGCGTCATTCTCTCAAAAAACTTATTTGTTCTTAACGATAGATCACCGACTCACTTTTCCTCCCACAAAACTTTCACTCCCATAGACATTGCTCTTTGTTCAGCTTCCATAGCCCATAAACTCTGTTCCTATACTCTAGAAGACCTTCACAATAGCGACCACTTTCCTATCATAAATTCCGTCATCACCCCGATGCAATACATCGTTAAGCCGAGATCAAAATTTCTTATAGAAAAAGCTGATTGGTTAAAATATTGCTCTCTGCTCAACACTAAGGATAAAAAGGATTATTCGATCCGCTGCACATATCTCAATTCCCCAAACTAGCACAAAAAAATTTACCTCCAAACTACCGTATTATAATAATAATAATACCCAACGATTACCCTCCTCCTGCCCAACCGACGCGCGGGACGCAATCAGCGAACGAGCGGAATTAGCCGAGTCATGAAAGGTACGAGAGTTTTAAGCGTTGCGATCTAAAGCTGCTCAGCTACAGAAACAAAAATTTCAACAGCCAAAATTAAGGATTAGATTAAAGTTTATAATTTTTAAACGTTAATTGTTAAGAGTAGATAAAATATTTTTTTGTTAATGGTAAAGAGAGAATCTGTTAG